CGTCCACCTCCCCCTCCGCATCCCCGCCCTCGCCCTCCCCCTCCGCGTCGATCTCGTCCACCTCCGCCTCCGCGTCCGCGTCCAGGCTGTCGCCCTCGCCCTCGCCGTCCTCCTCCCCGTCGACCTCCATGGGCGAGTGCGTGCGCAGCGGCGGCAGCAGCCCCGGCGCGCCTTGGTGGGCGTGTGCGTGCCCGTGCCCGTGGGAGGAGGAGGTAGAAGCGGAGGCGGTGGAGAGGAGGGACGAGGACGACGTGGGGACGGGCACGGCGGGCGCGGGCGCGGGCGTGAGACGGTTCTTGATGATGCGGCCCGCGTTGGGCGTCGACGACGGGTGGGCGGCGGTGGAGGTGGAGGTGGAGGTAGCGGCGAGGGAGGAACGCATGCTGCTCTCTTGTGGCGGCTCGCGCTCGCGGTAGGCCATCGCGCTTGAGGATGAGGATGAGGGGGCGGCGGGGACGGCGGGGAGGGTGTCGGTGCGGTGGACGGAGGCGGTGCGGAAGTTGGTGGGAGTGGAGGCGACGGGGGCGGCTGGGAGGTGTTGTTAGTATTAAGCATTTCGTGTAAGAAGGAGAAAACACCCACCAGCCGCCGAAGCCTGACTCTGCTGCAACTGCTGCTCGAGTGTCCCCCTTCGCTCGACGCGCTTCATTTTCTTGCGGCATCTGTGGAGGACGTTCGTTAGCGTGTGCGTGTGCGAGTGCGACCCCTCCCGTCGAGAAAGACACGACACTCACCGATCACATACCGTCCCCGGCCCTAACGGCCCCGGACCCCACTTCTCCACGCATTTTCCTTCCTGTAAATCCCTTTGATTAGCATCCATTTATTTCCCCCATTTTTCCATTAAAAAAAAGGAAAGTCCATTTATTTAATTTAAATGAGGAACGGGAAGCGAAAAATGAAAGACGAGTAGGGTATCACACCCAAGGCGAGGAAAACGAGGGGAAAAAACGAAAATGAAGTAGGGAGGCAAAAAAAAGAAACACACCTTATACCGTCCCGGCAGCCCACACTGCCTGCAGATACGCTGGTTCGCGGCGTTGGTTGGGGGGAAGGGGAGGTCTGCGTTGCGAAATAGTGTCAGTTTGGTCTTGTCCGGTATCGAGAGAAAGAAAAACAAAAAAAGAGGAGAAAGACGGGGAGGGAGCGCAAAAACGCAGAAACGCGCCATAGCCCACGCGGAGACGTCCGAAAAAGGAAATCCGCGTCCCTCCCCCCCAAAAAAAAACGCAAAGAAGAAGAAAAAAAACGCACCCCAACAACAGCAGGCACCCCCGCCCCTGCTGCTCCAGGTGCAGCCGCAGGCCCCTGTCCAGCGGGGTACGGGAACGCATGCAGGTCCTTCGTCCCCTTCTTCACCGGCCCCCCTGCGGAGGCGCGAACACCGTAGCCTGATACACGCCCTCTCCCCTCCTCCCCCACCTCCTTCCCCCCCCTCTCCCTTCTCCCCCTCGTGCGTCTCCTCGGGCACCCCGTCCCCCCGCACGCGTATCCATACTCCCCGCCCTCTGCGGCGTGTTCGCACCCCCACCCCCACCGGCATCGAGGGTGTTCGCGCGCGTCCATTCGGGGGACCGCCCCTGTCCCTGTCCTTGTGCGTGATGCGCCGTAGAGTGTTGGTGCGAGGGAGAGAGAGTGGAGGGTGGTGCGACGGGCGCGGGGAACCGTTCGCAGACTCGAGGAGCATGGCGTCGAGGTCGTCGGACGCCGTGCTTGGGGAGCGGTCCCTATGTGTTGCGTCGCGGTCTCTCCCTTCTCTACCCTCGCCGATCGCCTCGCGGTGAGAATGAGAATGCGACGCAGGGTGGTGCGAGAGCGTAGGCTGTCGTTCAGGCGAACGGCGGAGGGTGTTGTGGCGCGTCGGGTGCGAGGAGGAGGAAGAGGTGGGGGGGAGGTGTGAGGAGGAGGAGGAGGTGGGGTAGCGGGAGGGGTTGGGCCCGCCGGGGCCGGGGAGGGGGTAGTATGTTGGGGCGGTGTGGTACTAGAGGGGGGGAGAAGGGGGTAGTATTAGTGTAAGGAGGAAGAAGAATGAGGGGAGAGAGGAGAAAGAGAAAAGAAAAGAAAGGAAAAGGAAAAGAAAAGGAAAAAAAAGTGTAAACGGGATGATATCGAGACGGACGTGGGGCAGAAGTGCGGAAGAAGGAAGAGAAGGGAGGGAGAGAGGAAGGACGAGAGGAAAGGAGGGAGGGAGGGAGGGAGCAAGGAGGGCGATGCGATGAATCAATAGATAGAAAGGAAGAAATGATGATACGATATCGAGACGGACGGGAGCACAAGTGGAAGAGATGGAGAAAGCGCGAGAAAAGAAAAGAAAAGAAAAAACGCACATCAAACTCCCCCTCCCCTCCCCGCTGTTTCTTATTCGGATACCCACCCCCCGCATACAAATCCAAACTCCCCTCCCTCGGCCGCCGACTCCCCGTCGCCGCCGCCGAGGCCGCAGGCAACGGCGGCAACGCCAACCCCCCAAACGCATCCCGCGTCGCGCGCCTCCTGCTCTCGTGGTGCGAGGACGCGTGGTGCAGCCCCGAGGGCGGGGGCATATTATACCCCGACCCCCCCGCCCCCTCGCCATACCTATACGCCCCTCCCCCACCTCCCCCACCTGTATACCCCCCGCCCCCGGAATACCACGTAGAAGAGGAAGCAGGCACCGGCACGTCCACCAACACCAGCCTCCCCCCGCCCTCCCCCACAATGCGCCCGAACCCCGCGCGCGCGTCGGCGGCGCGCGCCTCGACGACGCCGAGGTAGGAGTTGAGCTGCGCCCAGTTGGAGGTGATGGATGCGAGGCGGGCGAGGGCGTCGTCGCGCGCGGACTCGGCGGCGGTGGTGCGGTCGTCGAGGGTGAGGAGGAGGGCGAGGGTGCTGGGGGGGAGGGGTTGTGTCGTATTCGTATTCGTATTCGTATTCGTATTTGGTGCGGCGGGGGCACCAGGAAGAGAAGAGGGAGAGGTGGTGGAAGCCTTGGGCGATTCAGACGCAGCGGGGACGGGTCCATCGACTGCAGGAGGGACAGGCGTATCGCTCGCGCTCGCGCCCGTCCCCGAGCTCGTCGGTCGTTCTTCGCCTTCTTTCCCCCCGCCTTCCTTGCTCGGCTTCGTCTCTGCAGTCGTCGTAGCAGCAGCAGAGGTAGAAGCAGCAGACAACGTAGCAGCCACCGCGCCAAACGTCCCCAACAGCCTCTCCGCGCGGTCAGCGCGCCGCTTCTGCGCGGCGAGCTCCTCGCGCAGGGCCTCGACGTCGCCCAGAGCACCCGCGAGGAGGGCGGCGAGGTGGGCGGAGGTGGTGAGGGTGCCGGGGAGGGGTGTCGTCGTCGTTGTTGGTAAGGTAGAGGAAGAGGAGGTGGGTAATGTAGATGCAGAGGAGGACGCGGGGAGTGTAGACGAGGACGTAGCCGTCGAAGGCGCGGGGTCGTCTGCGGCCTTCTCGACCACGGCTAGGACGACGGCGGGCATGGGGACGTCCTCTGTTTTTTCTTTAGATTCTTTTGATTCAGTAGATGCAATAGAAGGGCTCTCGACGCCGGGCATGGGCGCGGGGTCGCTCATGGTCTAGTGCGGGTAACAAGGTGGTGGCAAGAGCAAGAAGGGTGGTCGCCAGGGCAAAAGAAGCAGCAAGCGTCGGCGGAGCGCGGAGTGCAGTGCGGCGCGTCGGCAGTCGGCAGGCGTCGGCAGGCGGCTCGCTAAACGCTAGTACTACGCGGTTACAGTTATGCACGTATAGGAGGCGGCGCACATACCTAGTAGTATTCTGGGCGGGGACACAGGCGGGGGAACAGGAACAGAAAGCAGAGCAAAAAGAAGCGGTGCCTCTTGGACGGAGCGGGCGGTTTATAGCCTTGACCGACGTGAAAAGAAGCGCCCCACTGTGCCACGCCTTGCCCGTGCGGGCGGGGAACCACGCGGCACAAACCAACGGCACTTGGCGCGGTTCGATTCGTTTGAACCGAACGCATCAGGCCATCACGGAGTTAGCGTACGTAGTCTATTTTCGTTCTCTAGAGTCGCTCTGGTTCTACTCCCGACTTATTTGTTGGGCATCGCTCTTATTCCGCGCCCGCGCCGTTGCCGTTGCCTACCTCCTACCTCCCACCCGAGCGCTCTCCTCCCTCTTCTGCGTCATTCAAAATTGGTGCACCGTTGACACGTTCCATCGCCATCAGGCGCAGAAGCGCCGCGCTCTCCGGGGTCCCTTCCCTCCCTTCAATTCCCATATCCATATCCAATCTGATTCAATCGCGTCCGTCTTCCTCCGACGACGACTTCTGATGCACCAGCCCCGCCTTCGAGCTGATGTTCGCCGTTGCGCCTCCGTCACGAATCACGGTGCCCATGCCCACGCCCCCACGGTTCTTCGCCCCTTGAAGCTGGTGCCACGTTTCAGGCGCTGTTGGGCCATGGCCAATCGAAGCCCGCCCCGCGCGCTGACTGACCAGGACTGACCCTGCGCGCCGGCCCGGTTCACTTCAGAGATCGAGTTACGACAAGGGCCGTACGCGTCTTGTCGGCGTGTTTACGTATACACTGTACAAACGGCGCACGCGCGGCGAACTCCCCCGGCGTGCGGCGCCAACCGTTAATTCAATGATATGATATGCATCAAGTGTCCCCGCCTCGCGCGCAAACTTTATTGCCACGCGCCCGCCTTGCCGCGCTTGTCGGGACTTACATGGGATGTGGGATGCGGGATATCGACGTGGGATATCGACGTGGAATGCGGGACAAGTACCCCACATCTATGCGCTCAGATCGATACGATACGATAGGGGCGGCGTTCTTGTGTTGTATGTGGCTTATATGGTTGCCGAGCGCGCCCTGATCGGCGTCTTCGCGCCCTGTGCGAATATATTTGGTCGAGCGACGGCGAGCGCAGCGCAGTGGGATTACGTTGATCTTCGCCTTTATGTTATGTGATGTCGGCGTCCTAACTTATTAATATAATAGTGAACTGACACAATCAGGAGACCTGACAAGTGACCAAGTGACCAAAGCGGCATCGCGCCCTTGTGTAGCGGTAACACACAATCTACTTCTAAGACAATACACCTTGCCTTAGATTGGGTTCGGGGTTCGACTCCCCGAGGGCGCATTTTCGTGAAGTCGAGAGAATTTTTTGGTGCACTCGTTCTTTCTTTCTTTCTTTCTCCCAGTTTCACTCAGGCCTTCTTTGCACGAGCCTCTTTTAAACTTTATCTGCAAGTATTTATCTCGGACATCGTGCGCAGGCCTAGGCAACTCGCACAAATGAGACAATGAGGAGACCTGACAGGTGGACAGGATGACAAGGTGGCATCGCGCCCTTGGTGTAGCGGTAACACACAATCTACTTCTCAGCGAAAAGTGAAATGGTTGAGATTGGGTACGGGGTTCGAACCCCCGAGGGCGCATTACAGAATATCCAGCTCGTTTTTTTCCTCTTGGGGGCTTTGGTTTCCGTGAAGCACCACGCTAAACTGTTACCATTGACAGTGAAATCCTTTTCTTTTTCCTGGTCTGAGCTCGCTGCGTTGGCCTCTTGCTTTATTCGAGTTCGAATTCCTACCAGGCTGATGGTCCCAATGACATTAACATCAGTTTAACCTATCATTTTGAGACTTTGATGTAGCGCCCTTGGTGTAATGGTAACACGCAATCTACTTCTGAAATATTGCATGCGGTCCTGGGATTGAGTCCGGGGTTCGACTCCCCTAGGGCGCATTCTGAAGCTCCATAATTTGTTTTTGTTGCTCTCGTTCGTTCTTTCTTTCTTTTTTCTTTTACTGACCCCGCTGAGACTTCCATTCACCATGAGCGTTACTTTTGTCTTTGTCTTTATCTTAAGCTTAAAGTGCCGCCGGGTGAAAGTCAATGGCAATCTTGATGGCAATGGCAGATGACAAGTGAACAGAAGACAGGATGCTGTAGCGTCCTTGGTGTAGCGGTAACACACAATCTACTTCTGCGAGAAGTGAAATGGCTGAGATTGAGTCCGGGGTTCGACTCCCCGAGGGCGCATATATACTGAAATCTATAACTTTTTTTTCCGTTTTTTTCTTCTTCCTCGCGTGCGATCGTTGTTTATTTTTCTCGGAGCTTTAGTTTTCCTTCAAGTTTTGACTCACCTTCGTCCGCAAGATGGCACAAACCGTGACGCAGTCTCAATGAATACATTGCCAGCACAATTCAATTCACAGGAAGAGGGACAATATGCCAGTGGAATCTACAGTAAGAGGTAAAGAGGAGGCTGATATGGCGCCCTTGGTGTAATAGTAACACACAATCTATTAATCTTGAAGTTTCCATCAAAGTGTTTGGATTGGGTCCGGGGTTCGACTCCCCGAGGGCGCATTCGAATTTTGAGGATTTGATTTTTCTTACCTCGGTCCTCCATTTTTTACCTTAAACTTTTGACCCGCCAGTGTTAGTTCTCCCTTCAGGCTCACTCTTGCTTGCCAGACCAACCGGAATTAGAAGAGACACATAACTTTATGCGCATGAGATCCCCATCCATCATTTCGAGGGGATATCGCGTCCTTGGTGTAACGGTAACACACATTCACAGCTCGGTTTCCACCAATTCGAATGGTCCGGGGTTCGACTCCCCGAGGACGCCTGTGGTTGAGGGAAATATTTTTTTCTCTCTCTGTCTTCTTTCATTCGAGCGCTGGTACTTGCACTTGAATTATTATTACTTTTCTCCTGTTTGCGACCTGACCTCAGTGAACCTCTTAACCTGCACCAATCCTTTTGCTGATCTGTATTTGTATTGATATCCATTGTTCGGAAGTACCACGATGGCATGATCTCCGTTGATTGAAGGTCTGATATTTACCCGTAAGTGGTGTGGCAGTGGCGGTAACACACAATCTCCTTTTGGTGTTTGAATATATGTATTTGAATTGCCTCCTGGGTTCGACTCCCCGAGCTCGAGGGCACATCTGTTGGATTATCATCGTTTTTCTTCCTTCTTTTGGGCACAGTTCGAGTGCAGAACTTAAGCAGCGGACATCTGTTTCCATCAGTTCGGACCGCTGATGTAGCGTCCTTGGTGTAACGGTAACACGCAAGTCCTTTTGGACTGGTCCGGGGTTCGACTCCCCGAGGGTAGGGCCCTGTTTATGATTCCCAGGACCATTATAAACAGTTTTTAAATATGGGTTTATAACAGGGTGTTTATAAACGTGTTTATAAACCTTTATAAACCCTCGCCCCAAAACACCAATAAACAGGGTTTCAGGAAGGTTTTTTTCGCTCTTTTGTCCCAAAATTGCCCCCATGATGCAAAGGGAGTTACGACTTGGCTCTTACCACAAGAACAAAGTCTTCGGGCGAAGAAACGGACACTTGGGCCAGTTCCAGGCCGAATAGCAGCCAAATTTCGATAGTTTTGACTATGTTGCGGTTTAGTTTCCCATATGGAAGTTGTTAAACAATTTTTAGGAGCATTCTTCCGTCCAGTCTTGACTGAGTCGTCTGCCCAATTAGAGTCAAGCCGCGCCCAATGAGCACAGCCACTGTGAATTATAAACCGGCACTTTGAGCCAGACCATTTAAAAACCAGTTTATAAACCCGTGTTTAAAACAATGTTTGCAAACCGGACTAATAAACAGTGCCCTACCCGAGGGCGCCTGGTTTGGCAGCCTTTTTTTTCATTTCTCTGCCTAGGCTCGAGCTCAGGCTTCCCTCCGTCCCAGCCAGTTGCTTGCTTCACCTGTGTTGGGACAATTCACGTCAATTCAATTCGGACCTTCACGGCGTTTCTCGGGACAATGCAAAATTTAGGCAGAGAAGGACAACCATCATTTCAAATAACTGATGTAGCGTCCTTGGTGTAATGGTAACACACAGTCGATGAACACTTGATTGGTCCGGGGTTCGATTCCTCGAGGATGCCTGACAATTTCTTGATTTTTTTCCTCAACCTTTCCATTATTATCCGTATCTATCATCCCGTCCCTTCTCTTCACATCAATTGATACTGATATCGATTGTTCACTGCATTGATATTGTCTCCATCATTTTGGAAGCTGATATCATGTCTTTGGTGTAGCGGTAACACCCAATCTACTAGTAGTACTTCTCATATAGACACTGGAAAGAATTTGGATTGGGTCCAGGGTTCGAGTCCCCAAGGGCGCATGCCATACCCGGACAATTCCTTTTGTGTTGAAAAATATTTCTTTCCCTTTGACCCAAATCAAACTCTCTTTTGCCAGGTTCGTTCCCGCCAACGAAATAACCAATACATCTGCTAAAAGCAATCGTAAATAAAGGAACAGCACTGAATGTCGGCACAATGATACACAAATTGAACAGACATCTCTTTCCATCATTCCTCTCCTGCCATCATTCCGGTCTGCCGATGTTGTGTCCTTGGTGTAACGGTAACACTCAATCTACTATTGGATTGGTCCGGGGTTCGACTCCCCGAGGACGCCTATTGATATCGTCGCAGGTTTTTTTATCTCTCTTCTTTCTCTCGAGCACACTTGGTATGTAGGTTTTGATTATTCCGAATGGCGAGTTTTTGTTCTAACCTCAGTGAACCTTTAATCTGCACCAATCCTTTTGATGATCGGTACCAGTACTGAATATCAATTGTTCGGAAGCACCGTGATGGCATGATCTCCGTTAATTGAAGGACTGGTATTTACCCTTAAGTGGTGTGGTTATAACACGCAATCTACAGTCAGACTGTACAGAACAAATCAATACACAATAATTGCAAGTGTGCAATACAATACAGACTTTAAGCTTATTAGTCACCTCATTATAATAATCGGTGGTTCATTTCTGATAACATTGACATGAGCTCGATCAATTAAAGAGAAGATATAGCGCCCTTGGTGTAGCGGTAACACACAATCTACTTCTACGTTAAAAAGCAGGGAGAGTTTGGATTAGGTCCGGAGTTCGAGTCCCCGAGGGCGCATTCCGAACTTCGGCAACCTTTTATTCTTGCTCTTTCTTTTGTTTCTTGGAGCCTTCGGTTCCCGCAAAACTTTTGACCCACCAGTACTAGATTGTTCATGTACAAGCAGAACAACATCGCAAGATGCAGAATTAAGAAAAGACAGACAGCATGAGATCTCCCTCCATCATTCCTAACCGATGATGTCGTGTCCTTGGTGTAACGGTAACACACATTCACTACTTGGTTTTAACCATATCGAATGGTTCGGGGTTCGACTCCCCGGGGACGCCTGCCTGTTCTACTCCTTCTTTTTCTTTGTCCCTTCTTTCCATCGGCTTTTAATTATTACTTCTTGCCCGGCTCTCGTCGACGAGTTTTTGTTCTGACCTCCTCTTGTTTCTCTCCAGTCAAGCTTTGTTTTTCATCTGCACTAAATCTTGATTGATGCTGATTGATTGTTCACTGCATTGACATGGTCTGCATCCATTGGATGAAGGATTTAGCATCCTTGTAACGGTGACACACAATCTGCTTTTCGCACATATCCATATGAAGTTAGATTGGGTCCGGGGTTCGAGTCCCCGAGGACGCATTTGGCTGTGGATGCATTTTTTTACTTTCTTTCTCGCCAGCCGGTTCCCAGTTTCTTACGTGCCAGGATAAATCAGCAAACAAAATGATGAAGGCACCTGTGTCCAAATACATCCTTCCCATCATTTCAGATTTTGATGTCGCGTCCTTGGTGTAACGGTAACACACATTCACAGCTCGGTTTCCACCAATTCGAATGGTCCGGGCTTCGACTCCCCGAGGACGCCTATTGATATCGTCGCACGTTTTTCTTTGTCCCTTCTTTCTTTCTTTCGTGCAGACTTGGTTTCTTTTTTTGGCCGGCCTCCCGTTTGCGGGTCTTTGTTCTAACCTTAGTGAACCTCTTAACCTGCACCAATCCTTTTGCTGATCTGTATCTGTATTGATATCCATTGTTCGGAAGTACCACGATGGCATGATCTCCGTTGATTGAAGGACTGATATTTACCCATAAGTGGTGTGGCAGCAACACAATCACAATCTCCTTTTGGTGTTTGAATATATTTTGAATTGGGTCCGGGGTCCGACTTCCCGAGGGCGCATAATACTGTGGGAGTGTTTTTGTTTTCTTTCTCATTCACCTTCTCGATCTCTGCTCCTTTGATTTCCTTGAAATTTGACCCACCGGTACTTGTCCTGCTTCATGTACAATGTAGAGGAGCAGAAGCAGAACAAATCAACACACAGAACATCGCCTCCCATCATCTCAAGTTGATTATGGGATTCATCATTTTGAGACTTTGACATAGCATCCTTGGTATAACGGTAACACGCGATCTATAATACTCTTGGGTTCGACTCCCCTTTGTTTTTGTGTTGAAAAATATTTCTTTCACTCTGAGCCGACTCAAACTTCCTTTGGGCAGGTCCGTTTCCTGCCACTGAAACGGCCTAACATCTGCCAAATCCACCCGTGTCTGGGCCAATGCGGAATTGACAACAGACATCTGTTTCCATCAGTTCGAACCTCTGATGTTGTGTCCTTGGTGCAACGGTAACACACAGTCGTTCAACGATTTGGATTGGTCCGGGGTTCGACTCCTCGAGGACGCCTGAATAATTTCTTCTATTTTTCCCCCCTTCTCTTTGAACCTTCCAATTATTTTTCGTATCTGATGTTCCTGTTCTGACCTCTTCTCCCTACCGAGGAACCTTTTAATCTTCACTAATTTTTTATTGATATTGAGATTGATGGTCAGAATCAACCTAGGGGGCCTATCCATTGGTTGGAGGGTGTACACCGTGTAGCGTCCTTGGTGTAGCGGTAACACACAATCCATGTCTGTTGAATGAATGCCCAAGGCTAAATTGGGTCCAGGGTTTCCAATGACAAGTCAGGAAAATTATTTTGGAAAATTGTTTTTGTGTGGAAAAAATATTGATCCCTCTGACTGACTGCTTTCTTAATGCAACAGCACAAAAATATCAGGACAGTGCGGAGTCTTAGAAGACAAGATCCATCATTTCAGACCTCTGATGTCGTGTCCTTGGTGTAGCGGTAACACACAACCCATTGGATTGGTCTGGGGTTCGACTCCCCGAGGACGCCTTTTCCGTAATATGTTTTTTTCTCCTTTTTTTTCACATTAGAGCTCGTCCCTGTTCTGATCCCCATGAACGGGCACACCTCAACGGGCAGCACAGTTCACCGCCGTGAGTTTGCTCATGGCCTGAAGGCATTGCAAGTACCAGACGGTTATGGATGCTACTCACGTTGAAAGCGGCGAGTTTGCGATGATGAAGATCGTCTGCATAAGTGTTCATCCTTTCGAGGACTGTGTCCCCATCCGCCGGGTTCTCCACAGCCCACACGACTCAGATACTCAGATCACAGTGATCCCTTTGCTTCAGAGGTACGATGAATCTCGATCTGATACTATTGGGGAAGCTATCGTATTCTTCAGGCAAATTCTCGATGTCATTCGATTTATTAACCGCCGACTGTACATATGTTCTCCAACAGGGATTGAAATATATGCACAAACACAATATTGCACACCAGTGAGCTCCTCAGAGCACCTTCTGAAGTTCGGTGTACTCATACACAGATAAGTGACTGCATGGGTTTGAATGTGGTGATGCCGTGATGGATGGATCGCCGCTCTATTCTGAACCAATTCACCCAGCGCACCCGCTACATTCGCGAACAGTGCCTGTTTGACTCAGACTCGAGCCCTACCTCTGGAGTTGGGAACTCTTTTAAATTCGTTATGCGACAGAAACCCCCCAACAAATTTAAAGGCAAGTTCAAAACGGGGCTGGTAAGGAGGCTCGGTTGCGGGTGGTTCCGCATCGATATTTACTTTCGACGCTTCGGCGCCCTCGGATTATGTACACACTGCCTGTTCGACCACCGGCTCGAGCCCATATGCGTCGACAGTTCTCTTCGTTATTTATTTTATTTCGGTGGTGCACGGCGGCGCGTTCGGGTCATCGGTAGGTGGGCATATGCATCACAGATTGGCCCGAGAACAAGTTGGGACGGAAAGAGCACAGCGGTTCAATACACAAGTAATAGTCTTTGAAATTTCGAGAATGAAGCACATGAAGTACAAGAAATTGGGGGTATTCGGACATCGAAAGGGCCCAAACGTGTTGGTGCC